AAAAAAAAAAAAAAAAAAAAAAAAAAAGAAACAAAAGAAAAAAAGCACTAACTTCAGCCCAACCCTGAGAGCTCAAGGCAGCCCTGCCCGCGGGGCGCCCGACCGCTAGCTCCGGGCAGGGGGCTGAGCCCAGGCGGATGGTCCCCAGTGCCCAGTCCCCATTCCCCACCGCCTCGGCGGCTGCCCCGAGCGGCTCAGCCCCGTCCCGCAAGGAGAGATGAGCCKCCTCTCGCAAGGGCCAAAGGCAGGAAGGGGCAGAGGGAGGGGAGCGGGAGGAGGGAGACAGGATCTTATGGGGGCAAGCTGAACTGGGACTTTCCTGTTCCGGGATACGGAGACGGTAAAGGCTGCTGCGAGCGAGGGACCGAGGTTAGGGACCACTGCCCGGCRCCGCCGGGGCACAGGGCGGGCATTTCTCCCTCCTTCCCTCTCACACCGCACTCTGGGCTGGACAGCGGGGAGCGGGGCAGGGAAGCCGGCCGGGGGCCGGARCAGCCCAGCTGCATTCCGGAGCATCGCTGCAGGTCCTACCGAGCCTCTCTCCTGCAGGCTCAGGAGCGACTCAAGCCTTGAGGTGGCTGGAGCTGAGGCGCGGCAGCGCCCGAGGCCGAAATTAAGTTGCTGCAGGAGACGGGCGTTATTTCAAAAACCTGTGACAAACCAGAGGTGGGGGGACAACGCGAGGGGGCACTTAGGAAAAATGTGTTTGCGGCTGAGTGAAATTAAAAAGGTTATTGCTTGGGGGCGGGGGCAGGTTTTCACGGCCCGCTCGTGCCACAGCAAATTGTTTCTCTTCGTGGAAATGTTGGTTTACTCACACTGGAGTCTGGACACATCCTGCAGGCAATGAGTAATRATGAAATGAAATCTCTTAATGGAGGCTTTGCACAGTAGCATAATCATTCTCCGCCCGATACACACAGGTCACAAAGAGAGAGATGGCCCTGCTCATCTGGATGCTGCCCTAAAGAGATGGCCCAGCTCATCTGGATGCTGYCTCCAAAGTTTGAATAATTAGTGGCTTCCAGCCGCTTCCCCCTCCCCCATACTCTTTGCAGCCCCTAATTAATGAAAAGAGCCACGGGGAGGGATGCGAGCAGAGTCACTTTGCATGAGAGTTGGGGCTAGACATTTCTCTCTCGGGGCGAGGTTTCCATCGCGAGTCAAGGTGGGGGGAATCCATCCCCTGGGGGTGCTGGCGCGCTGCCCCACCGGGCACAGCCCCCCGAATACCCAGCGCTTCGCAGAGACTTCTTCACCCGGGAARAGCCGTAACACGTCAGCCGGGAGCCGATTCTACGCGCCAGCAGCAAAAAGTGACACCTCCCGCCCCCGGCAAAGGTTGTACTCGTGAGGGGCTCGGCCCGCTGCCTGTGGCGGAGCGCGGGAAGGGCCGCGGCGTGGGACGAGTGCGTTGATTCCCCACCCCACGGCGGCTCTGCCCTGGGCCCTGCCCGCTCCGCCCGGAGTGTGCGGCTCTGTTGGGGAACAGTGGGATAATCCAGGCAGCCGGCGGGCCTTTTCCCTCTGCCTCCGACRAAGACACGCGTGGACGCGGCGCAAAGCCCCTTCCCCGTCGGACCCAGCGCCCCCTCCAGCAGCCTTGGCGTGTTTTGTGCGGTGTAGGCTGCCGCCCGCAAGTCTGAAATAAAGTTTGAACTTCGGGGAAAGCATCTCGATTTCAGTTGCCTGTTTCTGTCCTGGACCGAGTTCAGACACATCCAACCGCGGCGGCGGTCGGGGACTTATCAAGGAAAGATTAGAGGGTCCACCGGTTTTTGAGCCGTTCGCCTGGTTTAACTATGCACAGCTGAAAGCTGAATGCAATGCTTGAGCTCACCACTTGAAAGGTTTTTGAGCACTGGCCAGTTGAGACCCSGCGATTAGTTAGATCATGGAGAAATAGAAGAAACCCACATCCTCCTTGGCGACGTTCACAAAAAATGAGCAAGCGGCTGCTGAGCAGCAGRAATCCCCCGCTTCCTCCGCGCCGCCGGGCTTCAGCCTCGCCGGTGCCCACTAGTGCCCGCAGCCCGCCTGGGCCCCGGGAGCCCTCGCCACCCTCTGCCCGAGGCAGCCGTCCTTCCCGCACACACCGCGGCCTTTCAAAACGAAATAAAAATGCTCATAGCGTCAGATTGCCTCGGTGCCTGGTGGATATCAGATTATTTCGTAAAATAACACGGCAGACTTAAAGGGAGTCTCCAAAGCAAAATAAGGCACTGCCGAGAAAAAAAAAAAAATCACTCTTTTCCGATAATATGCACTGCCCTTTTCTGATTTCTAACATATCCTCTGAGTCTGCAAACAGAGATGGCCGGCTCATCTGCCTCCTCCAAAGGGCCCGGCGGCAGAGGCAGGTTTTAAGGCTAGGCGAGCGTATGCAAAAGCAAAGACAAGGCTGGGTTCTGCCACGGTCAGTGGTGGTCAGAAACAATCCTGGCAAGTGGGGGTGTGGGTTTGCTAGCGCCCCKTCCCGGCTCCTGCAGCCCCTGCGAGGAGGGCCGGTGCGGCCAGCGCTTGCGGGCCGCCTCTGCGGAGCCGCCTCCCGGCTCCACAGCCTCCTGTTGTAAACGAAAGAGGTTTTCCGATGGGCCAGAGTCCCTCCTGTGGCTGTCACACACCCGACCGGCCAGAGTCCCTCCTGTGGCTGTCACACACCCGACCGGCCTGGCCCCGGCAGCCGGGGCGAGCTTTGTGTGGGGTCAGCGCTTCGGCCCACGGGAGGGGATAGGGCGGGCTGGGCCGGGCCGGTGACCCGAGCGCTCGGGCTCATTTGATCGGGTCTTGCTTGAAGGAAAATCAGGGCAAGCAGCAGCGGAGCTGACCGTAAGGTGCGTATCTTACCCTCCCTGGGGCACAGGTTACCTCAGTGCACTGTCACCGAGGTTCAACTTCCATAAGGCAGATGACCACGTCTAATTGTCCCTTCTGCCKCTATTTGCATAAAGGCTGCAAAAAGTAGAAACTCTTGCGGTATGAAATGCAGTGGGAATTGTCCAGCCCAGTTTCCTGACACCTGCACCCCAAAGCGGCGTTTCCCAAGAAGTATTAGGAGATGCCACGGGCACACAGCCCGGTTCCTGGGCGGGCGGTAGGATGCAGAGCTTCCAGGGCGGCTGGGCAGCTACCAAACCCCCGCTGTCCTCAACAATGTTGTTCGTTCGACCCGAGCTGAATTTAAAAGAGAACAAACTCTTGACTTCATCCTCTGTAATCCCTGTATCACAGAACACGGCGAGAGTGGTTTGCTCTCATTATTGGTATAAGATTACTCTTTAATTGCAGCGAAAATCCGTCCTTTCAAAAGCATTAAAGGGTTGACGTTTGTTTTCCTGATACAAGCCCATATTCAGATTACATGGACACTAATCAAATAACCCGGGTTATTTCATTTGTCAACATGTTCATAAAAATTTTCTACCAGGCGTTAAAGGCATTTATATGGAACGACATCTTTCAAAAGCAATGTCTCTAGTCCAGATTTAGGGTATATTTGATTATGACAAGACGTTTGATGGTTTTATTTTACATACCAGCTGKGCCACAAATCGTTTCATACCTCAAAGTCCTAATTTTTATCCTGCGAGGTTCTCTAAGAAGCAGTAGTTCTCATTTTACGCAGTGCTTGTCAATACCTGCAGCTCCTAGATAAGCTTTGTATTCAGAAGTGTTGTCAGAGGATCTAAAGGACAAGTGGGAAAGCGGCTCTGGAGATGGTTTTGTTTATTTCAGCGTGTGTGCGTGTGTGTCTTTGCCCCAACTTTAAAAGAAAACTCGATCTATGGTACCGTTACAAGGGGAATCCCGTCCGCCCTCTGACGGCCCCGCGCTGCTGTCCGCAGCCGCTGCGGGATGGCTCCTGCCCCGGCGAGGGCTGCGGGCTCCGCGGGCGGGGATGGCAGCGGGTCCCGGGGGAGGGGGACGCCTGGCTGGCGGCGGGGGTCGGGGGCAGGAGCTGCGGTAGGCGTTTCCCGGGGTCTGCTCTGGGCGGGGAGCCGCGGCGGGGGAGGAGGGTGCCGGCGTGCTGGGGCGGTGCGGCGGCGGGGGGCTGCGGCGCAGCTCTTGGGGGGCCGGGCGGCCCCGGCGCTGGGGTGAGCTGAGGTGAGGTAAGGTGAGGGCTCCGCGGCCACTTGTCCGTAGCGGGATCCTGCAGAGGGAAGGGGTGCGGCGGGGCCGCRGATCCCCGGTCCGCGGGGAGCCTGCAGCGGGACCCGCAGGTGAGCGGGGCCGGCAAAGAGGGGCTGGGCGGGGGWGTCGTCGCGGCCCTGATCCTGCAGAACGCGGCGAAGCGGCAGCCGTCCCGCCCGYCCTGCTGTGCTCCCGGAGCCGCCGAGCGCTGCGCTGCCGGGGCCAGCCCGGGCCGGGCCCTGCGCGGCGATCCCCGAGCACCCCGGGCGCTGCCGCATGGCCGGGACATGCCGGGATCGGCACCGGGACCGGGACCGGGCCGGCCTGCCCCGGGACCGGGAGTGGCCGGGGAGCAGGTGAGGGCACCGGGGTGTCGCTTTTGACTCGTGCCTAACCCTGGCCTTGCTTCTTTGCGGCAGCGAGGGCCTCGAGAGGAGTGCCCCGAGCGGCGGGTTCCGTCCCGGGCTGCCGGGGGGCGATGGCGAGGCGGAGGGGAAGGCGCGTCCCCCTCGGCAATCCCGCCGGCAGTAGCCCTTTTCCTCCCTCCCGGCTCCTCTCGCCGAGAACTCTCGAGCTCTTTTTATTGGTTACAGCTCTCCCCATCCTTCCGGCTTCGACAGGTGATCAGAGCATCGTGGCTGTTTTAGGTACTTACTTAGGGTCTAATTGCTTTTAAAAAATGAATGAACTTTTTTTTTTGGAATAGCTCATTGTTAGTCTCTGTTTCTGTGTATTCCTTGTATCATGGATATCCATGTAGCAGAAATTTCTCACTGGCTAAGTAAGTTAGGATCTGCTGTTGCTGTCACTTTAAAATGTCACATTG